GCCCACGCCGCAGAAGCTGCTGCCCTTCCCCAGCCAGCTGGAAGTGGTTAGTGGGGGGAATGGTGGCCCTGGGAGCGGGGGGTGCCCCACTGGGCCCCATCCATCCTCGGAGGGGGTGCAGGTCCCAGGGCAGGGCTGTCCTGGCCGTGGTCCGTGAGATCAGTTTGGGGTGGGAAGCAGGAGGAGAGGGGCAGCAGGGAGGTGCTGGGGGCACTGTGCCACCCTCTGCTTTCGGGGACTGGGCTCAGCAACATGATCCAAAATCGTGCCATGTGATCCAAGGCACACAGCCCCTTTAATTCCCAAACACACCCTTCATCTCCCAGCAGAGGCACTTTCACCCATCAGCATCTTCCCCAGCTTTTGGCCCTCGAGGGAGAGCGGAGGGAGAGGGTCTCATCCCTGGGGGCAGAGGGTGTGGGGAGGGACAGATGGCATTGTTTGGGTCTGTGCTGATGGTTTGGGTCTGTGCTGACGGGCTCTGCTCTCCCCCAGGGTGTGGACAAGCCTCCTGCCCGTCCCACCGCCTTCAAGCCGGTGCTGCCGCGCTCGGGGGCCATCCTGCACTCCTCCTCCTCCCCCGAGAGCGGGGGGCACCTCCCCCCGCCCCTGCACCCCCCGGAGAAAGCCAAGGAGCAGGAGCTGAAGCCCGTGCTGTGCTCGGGGGGTCTGTCTGACTCGGGCAGGAACTCCATGTCCAGCCTCCCCACCCACAGCACCAGCAGCAGTTACCAGCTCGACCCCCTCGTCACCCCCATGGGCCCCATCAGCCGCTTCGGGGGCTCTGCCCACAACATCCTGCAGTGTGCCATCATCCAGGACAGCAACATGATGAGCCTCAAGGCCATGTCCTTCTCCGACGGGGGCAACAAGATCCTGAACCCCGGCAAAGCCCCTCACCACCACCACGGAGCCGCGGAGAAAACCGCCTGCGTCCGCTCGCCCATCTCCACCGACGAGTCCACCATCCAGGAGCTGGAGCAGAAGCTGCTGGAGAGGGAGGGGGAGCTGCAGGAGCTTCAGTCGAGCTTCGAGGAGAAGGAAATCAGCTCCTGCCAGGCCTACGAGGAGAAGCAGCGGCGCTGCAAGGAGGAGCTGGAGGGCCTCAAGCAGAAGTGCAACAGCAAACTCAAGCAGACCTCGCAGAAAACGCAGCGCACGCAGCAGGTCCTTCACCTCCAGGTCTTCCAGCTGCAGCAGGAGAAGCAGCAGCTCCGGGAGGAGCTGGAGAAACTCATGAAGGAGCAGAACCTGCTGGAGACCAAGCTGAGGTCCTACGAGAAGGAGAAGACCAGCTTCGCCCCGGCGCTGGAGGAGACGCAGTGGGAGGTGAGTGGCACCGGGGCCCCAAACCTGGGGCTGAGGGTGCCCAGAGCAGAGTGTGAGTGTGGAATGGGGCAGCTTTGGCAGCAGCAATAGATGGAGCCCTTCTCCACCTCTATTCCTGCCCCCCAGCAGCACCACGGGGGGTTCAGGGCTGTGGGATGTGGATGTTAAATCCAAGGAGTTCTGTGAGCTGTAATTGAGGCTCTCACCGCCCCTCTTAACCCCTCAGCCCTTCCCATCATCCACGGGAACAGCCAGTGCATAAAAACACTCAGTCATTAAAATAACCTGGCATTTCCAGCCTCCAGCACAGGGTTTTCCAGCTGCCTGCCCCAGAGGAGCAGTAAAGCTGCCTTCCCACGTGGAAATAGGAACTACTTGGACTTGCCACGGCCATTTGTTAGAGAGCAGTAAAACCTTCCACTGCTTAATTTACTCACTCGTTGGGTACTGCTGAACAAAGAACGTTAAACTGATGAAAATCCCGAAGTTTATGAATAATTATTTTTAATATTAATTACAACTAATCATCCTAATTAAATTAATTCTGAATCAAGAGAAATAACTGCGGTTCGGGGTCTCCACACGCTGAGCCCCAGCTGTGCCCAGCGTGGCTCACACGGGGCACTGTGTGTGTGCCAAGGGCTGTGCCCTGACTCGGGCTCTCCATCCCTGCCCGCAGGTGTGCCAGAAATCCGGGGAGATCTCCCTGCTGAAGCAGCAGCTGAAGGAGTCCCAGACGGAGCTCAACACCAAGACCACCGAGATCCTCGGCCTGAAGGCGCAGCTGAAGGAGGTGAGGGCGAAGATGGAAGGGCTGGAGATGAAGACCCAGGAGCTGGAGGTGTCCCTGCGCACCAAGGCCATGGAGCTGGAGGTGTGCGAGAACGAGCTGCAGCGCAAGAAGAACGAGTCGGAGCTGCTGCGGGAGAAGGTGAACCTGCTGGAGCAGGAGATCGTGGACCTGCGCACGGAGCTCGCCGTCCTCAGGGAGCAGCTGAGCGAGGCCCGGGAGGGGCCCGGGCCCCGTGTGGGGCTGGAGGAGGCCCAGGCCCTGCAGGGCGAGGTGGAGAGGCTGCGGGCAGAGCTGGAGGCCGAGCGGGACAACAACGAGCAGATGACCTCGGGCTTCCAGCACGAGCGGCAGACGTGGAAGGAGGAGAAGGAGAAGGTGATCCACTACCAGAAGCAGCTGCAGCAGAGCTACCTGCACATGTACAAGAGGAACCAGAACCTGGAGAAGATGCTGCAGCAGCTGGCCGCGGGGGAGGAC